AACGAGCCGAACACGAGCTGTTCACGAACAACGAGCCAAATTGACAGCCCTAGCTCGGAGAATGGATTTACGTTCGAGCATGACACGATCATCCGCTATCGTCATTCGAAGCCCCAAAGGTTATTTTCTTTTATATCATCGATGCTCCTACAAACCTCCTTTTGAACACATTTTCATACATAAGAGAAAAATAATGTAGAATTAATTTTTGTGCTGTCTTTTGTCGATCGCAATGCCTTGGTGAAAAAACTGTGATGCACGTGAAAAACAACGCCGTAAATAAAGATTGGCAATATCATATAAGATAATTGTCTCTTTGACCACTTTGACAGATGGACTCGTTATTTTGATGGAATGTTGTGAATAAATACGATGTTCGGATTAGAACTCGAATATTTTCTTAAATTATTGTGAATTTATGAATAGAAATGTAGAATATTGTTTAAAAAAAATTATCTCTTTTTTTATTATTTTAAATGTAAATGAAAAGTTCTAACAAGGAATTAAAAAATAAGTACATAATTAATTAATCAAAATAGTTATGCAATTACATTTGAAGAAAAAAAAAAAAGGAATAATTCAATTGAAGATGTTCTAACCAAATTTTGATCAAACATTTGCTTTAAAATGATTGGGTATGATTTTGCTTATATAAGATAAGCACGTGAGGTTGATCGAGATGCTCGTATAATAGCCTCGGTCAAAGACCCAGGGAGGGGGCAAGATAGAAGAGATCTATGTTATCACTTATTAGTGTAGCCCAAAATATTTTTGGCTCGTCACAAAATTAATTTGCAAATCATGACACTATAGCGTTATAAGTGTAAATATCAAACTCTGGTTGTTACATATGTAAATACATAAAAGAATAAAAGTACGTATGTAAATTACCCAAGAAAATATATATTTGTGGTTTATGGATTTCCACTTTAACTGTTATAAGAATGAGCATTTGGTTTAGGGTCTGTTTGGGCAGCTGCAGTTTATTGAATAATCTGCTAATAAAGTGATTAAAAATAATTTGCTGATAAGTTTAGTGCATTGGCTATTATAAATTTTTATTTTTTTTTCAGAAAAGCTAGACTGATGTTGTTTTCAGGGTTTTGAAAACGCATAAACTGTCAAGAGATATAGCTTGCCCAAACAAGTCAAATGCATTTTCAAAACGCCACCGCACCAAATAAGTGCCCCTAACGGGCCCTTAATGGTCTTTAATCTCAACATCCAATCATTGTAAGGAATTAAAATTACCAAATGACTTGGATTTCATCAGCTTTCTAGAAATCTAAGGATGATTGGACAATTTACAGAAGAAACCTTGAAATTCCAGTTTTATCAAGAACTAAAGCAATCAAAACTATTAAAAAAAAACTTAAAATTTGTAAAAAAAAAAAGACTAAAAATATAATATCTTTAATTTCAGACCAACTGAATGACTGCAAACTAAAAAAAGGACATTTGCATACATACCCCTAAACCTTTTGTATTTACATATCTAATACCTAAACCCAGTTTTATCAAGAACTAAAGCAATCAAAACTATTAAAAAAAAACTTAAAATTTGTAAAAAAAAAAGACTAAAAATATAATATCTTTAATTTCAGACCAACTGAATGACTGCATACTAAAAAAAGGACATTTGCATACATACCCCTAATCCTTTTGTATTTACATATCTAATACCTAAAGTTTACTCGCAACATTTATACCATCCAAATCTTCCTTATCACATCCAAAATAAACCTCATTTTCATACATATGTAAGATAGCATGCATCTAAAAATTGAAGGTCAGATGTTAGCATGTAATTACATAAGAATTGAGCGGTATGTATGGCAAACCTCCAGCTTAAAACCATTCTTATAT